AAATGATAAAAATTCACAATCACGTAAAATGCGTTTATTCATTTCTTGGGTTCAATACATAATTTGATAAAGTACAAATACTTGGGGGCGGTGTTACAAGTTCTACCCCCCTTATTTGGGATTTCGTCCCCGAAATCCACGTGTCTAGTCAAACAGAAATGGATACTGTTCCCTCATCAGGGTCTCCACTTCCCAAGTTTGCTCCTCGACGCGATCACTCTTCCAAAGTACCTTCACCATCGGTACCTCTTTACTCCTTAGCTTCTTTACCTGTCGGTCCATGATCTTTACCGGCTGCACCGCATAGTGAAGGTCTTCCCGGATTTCTACCGGTGGTTTCTCAAGAATATGTGACGGGTCCCGTACATACTTCTTGAGCATAGAAACATGAAATACGTTATGAATCTTTTCTAATTCTGGAGTTAACTGAAGCCGGTACGCTACAACCCCAATCCTTTCAATGATTTTGAATGGGCCTATGTAGCGTGGGTTAAGCTTACCCCGACTGAGGAACCTGATGATCCCTTTCCAAGGTGACACCCTCAGAAATACCTCATCGCCGACCTCGAACTCTAACGTCCTTCGTCGTTTATCTGCATAGCTCTTCTGCCGATCTTGGGCAGCCTTGAGTCTATCCTGAATAACCCTCACCTTCTCCTTGGTGATTTCGACTAGCTCGATGCCCTCAAGCTTAGCCTCGCCTACCTCATCCCAACACAAAGGTGTTCGACATTTCCTCCCATACAATGCCTCGTATGGAGGCATGCCTATACTTGCTTGATAACTGTTGTTATAAGCAAATTCCACCAAGGCCAACTGGTTGTCCCAACTTCCTTGGAACTCCATGGCACATGCCCTCAACATGTCCTCCAAAATCTGAATCACCCGTTCAGATTGCCCATCCGTTTGAGGATGGAATGCCGTGCTAAACCTCAACTTTGTTCCCATGGATTCCTGGAACTTAGGCCAAAACCGTGATGTGAACCGTGGGTCTCTATCCGACACTATAGTAACCGGAACCCCATGCAGTCTCACGATCTCATCTGTATACAACTTGGCCAGTCGCTCAAGCGTATAAGTAGTGTTGATAGGTAGGAAATGAGCACTCTTGGTCAGCCTATCAACCACCACCCATACCGCGTCGTAGTTCCTAACCGTCCGTGGCAGACCTACCACGAAGTCCATAGTAACATGCTCCCACTTCCATTCTGGAATGGTAAGTGGCTGTAATAACCCTGCCGGGTGCTGGTGCTCTGCCTTGACCTGCTGACAGGTAAGGCAACGGCTCACATATTCTGCAATCTCTCTCTTCATCCCTGACCACCAGTAACTCTCTTTCAAGTCCCGATACATCTTTGTTCCACCTGGGTGCATGGCATACGCAGATGAGTGAGCCTCCTCAAGAATAGAATTTCGGAGTTCCTCATCTGACGGCACACACACTCGTTCCTTGAATAGTAGGAGTCCATCTTCTCTCTCACGGAAACCCTCCACGGGTCCCACGAGCATCCGTTCCCGAATCTTCTGAAATTCCTCATCATTACCCTGACGTGTCCTGATCTCGTCTAGCAATGTGGGTCTCACCTCAAACCTGGCCAACAAGGCCCCATCTGTGGATACCTCCACACGTGCCCTCAATGCTTGTAGGCATGTGAGTAAAACTCCCGATGAACTCTTCCTACTAAGAGCATCAGCTACCACATTAGCCTTACCTGGATGATAATCAATGATCAAGTTGTAGTCCTTGATCAACTCCATCCATCGTCTCTGTCTCATGTTCAACTCTTTCTGAGTGAACACATACTTCAAACTCTTGTGATCGGTGTAGATGTGACACACCTCACCGTAGAGGTAATGCCTCCAAATCTTCAAAGCAAATACTACAGCCCCCAGCTCCAAGTCATGGGTGGGGTAATTCACTTCATGCTTCCTCAGCTGTCGAGAAGCATAAGCAATTACCTTACCTGCTTGCATCAGTACACACCCAAGTCCCTGAATGCTAGCATCGCTGTAGATGTCATACCCTAGCCCCTGCACGGGTAGAGCCAGTACCGGTGCTTCAGTCAATCGTTTCTTCAGCTCAAGAAACCCCTTCTCACACTTGTCATCCCACACGAACTTGGCCCCCTTTTTGGTGAGCTTCGTGAGTGGTGATGCTATCACTGAGAATTTCTCCACGAACTTGCGGTAATATCCCGCTAAACCAAGAAAACTCCTGATTTCCTTCACATTCTTGGGTCTCTCCCAATTAGTGACCGCTTCAATCTTTGAGTTATCAACTGAAATGCCCGAGCCCGATACCACGTGCCCAAGAAAGCCAATCTCCTCGAGCCAAAACTCACATTTAGAGAATTTGGCAAAGAGTTGCTTCTCCCGCAGTGTTTCAAGCACGAGCCTTAGATGTCTCTCGTGTTCTTCTTCATTCTTGGAGTATATCAAAATGTCATCAATGAACACTATGACGAATTGGTCCAAGTATTGATGAAATACTCGGTTCATGAGGTCCATGAATGCCGCGGGGGCATTTGTAAGCCCAAACGACATCACTAGGAACTCATAGTGACCATACCTTGTACGGAATGCACTTTTGGGTATGTCACTCTCTTTTATCTTTAGTTGATGGTATCCCGACCTCAAGTCGATCTTGGAGAACACGGTTGCCCCCCGCAATTGATCAAACAAGTCGTCTATCCTTGGCAAAGGATATTTGTTCTTTATTGTGACCTTGTTCAATTGACGGTAGTCGATACACATTCTCATTGTTCCATCCTTCTTCTTCACGAAAAGGACTGGTGCCCCCCATGGTGAATGACTCGGCCTAATGAATCCGTTGTCTAGTAATTCTTCTAGTTGGACTTTCAACTCTTGGAGTTCGGCCGGTGCCATTCGATACGGAGGAATCGAGATGGGCTTAGTGCCGGGTTCAACCTCGATCTCGAACTCAATTTCTCGATCTGGTGGGAGTCCCGGGAGTTCTTCTGGGAAAACTTCTGGGTACTCACTCACCACCCTCATTTCCGTGAGGCTCTTCTCCTTGCCCTCCTTGCCTATGACATAGGCTAGGTAAGCCTGACATCCTTTCATCATCATACGCCTTGCCCTTAAGGCCGATATGATACAAGGACTGAATTGTCCTCTATCTCCCTCGAAGTATAGAGGGTTTCCCTCGCCATCCTTCAGTTCTAACACCTTGGTGTAACAATCTACCTTTGCATGGTGTCTTTCAAGCCAATCCATGCCAAGTATAGCATCGAACTCAAGCATGCCTAATGGTACAAAGTCGCCCATTAGACGGTGTCCCCCTATCTCAACATTACATGAAGGATAGTAGTGCTTTCTTTCTACATCATCTCCCAATGGTGTAGAGACTAACAAGGGTTGTGTCATCGCCGTTAATGGCACGTTCAAACCTTCGGCGAATGCTTCGCTCATAAATGAACGTTGCGCCCCGGTATCGATGAGAATTCTTGCTTGTCTACCGTTGATCTTTAGTATTCCTACATATATCAGTCATGTAAGGCACACTACTCAACGACCCGACTAAAAAGGAGCTTAAAATTTTTTTTTTTTTTTTTTTTTTTTTTTGCAAAAATTTGCCCTATACCCGGTCGGGTACTACCCCATACCCGGTCGGGTATGGCCCAAATTTTTCGAAGGAAACTTTCTGGAATCCCTGCTCGATCGAGTACACACCTCAAACCCGGAATTTTACTCATACCCGGTCGGGTATATACCTATACCCGGTCGGGTATCACCCAAAATTTTTGTCAAAACTTTCTGCCTTCACCATTCGATCGAGTACACACATCGAAAGTGAAAATTTACTAATACTCGATCGAGTATATGACCATACTCGATCGGGTATAGATTCCAGTGAGTTTGCCAGGCCAAAATTTCCTAATACCCCGGTCGGGTGACCTGCCCTACCCGGTCGGGTATTGGCCTAATTTCATTGATTCTTCCCTGATTCAACCCCGAGTTTGTGTGTTCTTGTCCCCTAGGACTTACAACTTCAGTATAGGCCGAAAAACATGTATAAGTTTAGTACATACCTGCGACGGAGTCCGGGTTGGCCCGAGCATCGGCCTCGGTCATCGCGTACACCCGCGCCTGGGTCCTTCCTTGGTTGACGGACGCGGCATTACTAGCCGTGGGTCCGCCCCTTCCCGTGCCACCCTGAGATGGCCCCGCACGACCCCTACTAGACGTAGGTGCCTCAACAGCCCCTGACGGCCCACCCCCACTCAACATTGGACATGAGAGTTTTAGGTGGCTGGTGCTCCCACACTTGAAACATCGGGGTGGCTCATTGCACCTCCCGGCGTGGTTCCGGTTGCAGTTTGAGCACCTCGGTGGCCTCATACCCCCCGAGTTATGCCCCTGCCCTCCTGGGCCTTTGCTCTTCTTTGCCGGTGGTGCCGGCGCCCTGAAGGAACTCCCACTCCCGGCATGATGCTTCCGGGAATGGTCTTGGGGTCCAGAATTCCCCCATCTTCTTTTCTTTGCCTCCTCGGCGTCTCTCTTCTTCCTCTCATTCCACTTGGCTTCCCCAAGTAGACCCTGGTCCACGATCTCACTGAACGTCATGTGATGGTTGAAGGTAGCCCGATCACGGATATCCAGCTGTAGGGTATCCCAGAAGTGATTGGCCATGCGGTTCTCATCCATGGCGTACTCAGGTATGTATCGTGCCAAGTCCCGGAATCTCTGTTCCAGTTGCCTCACCGAGCAATCATCCTCTTGTACCAAGGTCATGTACTCCTTCCTCTTTTGGTTCTTTTCGAACTCCGAGTAGTACTGGTTATAGAATTCTACCTCAAATTTCTCCCAGGTGGTCTCACCGTGGAACTTTCCTTCCACGCCTTCCCACCATACAGCGGCTACTCCCTCCAGTAGCCTGGTAGCAATCGTCAGCTTTATGTCAAGCCCAATCTGCATATCTCTAGCAGCCTCATTGAGCTTCTTTATCCAATCGGCAGCCACCGATATATCGCCCTTGCCATCAAAGGACTTGCACCCCAAGGCCCTAGCCTCCTTGAGGTATTTGGAGACTCTTACACAAAAGCCTCCTCCCTGCATTCCCTGTGACACCACAGGAATGGCCACTGAAGCCCCTTGACTTCCCTGACCCGAACCTCCCTGAGGTGCGCGCCTGGCTTGGCGCCTGAGATCTCTCCTCAACTTCTCCTTTTGATACCACTCAAACAGTTCACCCATCTGGGCGAATCTGGCATCACTCTCATCGTTGTCATCATCAGTATACGTATCACCCCCATCATATGGGGTCTCCTCATGTTCCGTCTCGGGAACATATGTAGAGTCATAATCCTCGGTGTGAGTTCCGTGCACCGAGCTAACATGGCCATCGCTCACGGTTTGAGCCCGACGGCCTCCCCGGCCTCCACGGCCTCCACGGCCTCTCCTACCGCCTCTCGCGCCCCGAGATGCAACCTGGCTAGCCCCTTCGGACGTCACCGGAGTTTGCCCTCTCGGGTTGTTCCTCGTAGCCATGCCTCTACCCTCCATTTCTGAAAGAAATTTGGAATGAGCCGTTAGACTCGTATCGATGTCAATTGACGGAATAGTACAAAAGACACCACTTGGTCCAACATTATGGCCAACAAACTGTTAAGGGTACCGTCTTAACAATAAGAGGTCAATAACTTGGTTTCCAACGGTTCCTTAAGTACAAAAACTTTTGCTCATGGTTTTGTTCAAAACATTTTTGATGATACTATATTGAGAGGTTAATTATATAGTTTAGAAATCGATGGCTCTGATACCACTTAATTGTCACGCCCCGGACCGCGTCCGTGCCACGTAGACAACCGCCGTACAACCCAATAAGAACAACGTAGTTCAATCTTATTAGATCATACAAGGCGTCCGATAGATTCTATTGCCAAACCGATTAGTAAACTCATACAATCAACATCAATATAACTCAAACAAATGCGGAAATAAAATATGTTTGAAGTTTAGCCACACGTGGCAAACATAGGCACGCAGGCCCCCAAATAGTTTAATAGAAAACATTGTATAAATATCCATGAGCAGTTACATTGTTTCAAGTAAGAGTGGAAGCACGAACCACGTCTTCCTTATTCGATGATCACCCTGGGCAAAGGTGCAGGAGTAGGACTCTAGCCTCAACCTGAAAAATGTGAGGGCCCCCGAAGGGGTCAGTACTCCATAGAAGTACTAGTGACAAGCAGGCTAGATGAAGAGTAACTAATATTTCAAACACAAGACCCAAAAATAGGATGATACATATATTTATAGGCATAACCGTAGTTACCCCATTCCCAAGATAATACATACTGTATATACTTGTAAAATACTTGACCCGTAGGTCCTTTTCTTTGAAAGAGTCTTTTTAGAGATAAGGTGCTCACCCGACCTTTCCCATCTATTCCCGAATGCCTAGCTCAATAGCTACATTCTATCTTACTAATATCCTACCGAGTTTCAGGATCATTTACTGTCCCGAGGATACTCAACCTCAACCGAGTTTCAGGATCACGCCCGTCCCGAGGATACTCAACCTCAACCGAGTTTTAGGATCACGCCCGTCCCGAGGATACTCAACCTCAACCGAGTTTTAGGATCACGCCCGTCCCGAGGATACTCAACCTCAACCGAGTTTTAGGATCACGCCCGTCCCGAGGATACTCAACCTCAACCGAGTTTTAGGATCGATTACGTCCCGAGGATACTCAACCTCAGTCTAATTCCTCACCAAACCCTAACCTGGATATGGCTAAACTTTCTTTCACTTAACTATGGACAATACCTAGTCCTATAGTTGTATAATAATCACTAGTAACCAACGTGGGCGGGTCCCACTTGAACGGCCCACGTTAACCTGCTCAAAACTGCCCGTTTTGGCATAATATCAATACCCTATCGGGTACCCACCCATACTCGGTCGAGTATGGGAGCCAGTAGCTCCAAATATACACTTCCAGCCCATACTCGGTCGAGTATACACCCATACTCGATCGAGTATGGGAGGCAGAAACTCCAGAATAGCACTTTCTGGCCATACTCGGTCGAGTATATACCAATACTCGGTCGAGTATGGGAGTTGACTTGGCGTTCAACGCCCGTTTGGCCGCCCAAACGAAGTCCGATTAACGTGAAATTTGACATGCGTGTACCTCTAGACTTCCTTAACCCAAAAATACCATTTTGAGTCCTTGGAACATCATGTACACTAATTTATAATATTTTCATTAATCAAACTTGTTTAACATGCTTTTCACTATGTTATGTTCTTCTATAAGTCATAACACATGCTTTAATACCATTAATCAATTCATAAAACATATTATTGATTAATTTAGGTAATCTTATGCCTAACGCAAAAGTTACAAAGCATATAGCCGTCTTCTCACCTTAAAAGAAGCTTATGAAGTTCTAGCCTTCCTTATTGAGCTCCGGTGAAACTCCGGTGAACTTCAACTAACTCCGGCGACAACTCCGGCGACCTTTTCGACCCCGTGAAAGTTCTTGGAATACCTTATACGAGTTAATAACAAGGTTTTATCATCATAAAACCCATATCAATACAAATAACCTCCAAAATGTTATTTTCCGGTGAACCCGTCAACTTTGCTCTCAAAGCTCGTTTTGGGTATAAACCAACCTTTCAACCCCCATTCTACACTTTTACAAGTGTAGCACTATCCTAGGAGTATGAAGTATGATTAAAGTGAATAGATGGAATTAATGAAGTCGTTACCTTGTTAACCACAAGTTTTCCTCTTAATTCCCTCCTTTCTCTTCTTCTTTTTCCTTCCTTCTTCCTCCCCTTGCTTTGTGCGTGAATGGTGGATGAAAATGGAGTTTTTGCAGAGCTTCCTACTCCTTGGGTGGTGGCTTGGTCGAGTGGGTGAGGTGTAGGGGTGATGGAAATTTCCTTTTTGGCTTATTAGCAATAATATAGGAAGAGGGTCCCATTTTCCTTCTCATCTTGCCTCCCAATCACCTCAAGTTCAACTCACCAGCCCTATGTGCGAATTCTCTTGCCATTGCAAGACTAAAAAACGTGGGGATGGCCCCCACTTAGATGGGTGGTCATCCCTTTGTGTCCCCGAGTGTACACTCGGTCCCGAAAGCTGTATTTTCCGGACTATTTTAACTATATTTCATTTTATCGGGTCAAATGAAATATTTATCATCCTTCCAATTATTATTGGCTATTAGAATGAATGTATATTCCCCAACTTCAGTTTAATGGTTCCCATAATTTATTATGGCTTTTCATCTGATATTTCTTCTGTACCGATAAATGGGCTTTATATGCCCAAAAGGTTACTCACATAACTTCTATGGCCCAACCAGGCTATCCACCATTATACACATATTATCTTGACCCAAGAGAATATAATATGTGGTCCCGATAATATCGGGCGGCCCCCGCTTCCGGTGTGGGCCCCACGTGAATTTTACTATTCACGTAAAAGAAATGATAAAAATTCACAATCACGTAAAATGCGTTTATTCATTTCTTGGGTTCAATACATAATTTGATAAAGTACAAATACTTGGGGGCGGTGTTACATATACACATAAATCGTGTTCTAGAATGGGCGGTATATATCGCTGAATATTTGTTTGGTCTTATTGGGATAAGGTTTATACGAAAAAAACATGTACAAACTTTTTAAGGTTTAACAAATTTTGGGGGACGTCCGAGTGTGAAGAGAAATTTGTAATATACAGGATATGTGAATAAATTACTTAGCTTCGTTAATTTATAAATGATCTCCTCGCGACTCAAAAGAATAACAATTAGATAAAAACAATTCAATCTATATAACCCATGCTTCACGATGAGGATAATAAAGAACCATCATCACTAAATAAAATCGTTATCAAATACTCTCGATCTCAAACTTTGTTTTGGTTCCAAATCGTTCCTTACACTTGAGTATACCTACGAAGGTTTTTTAACCAACCAGTAAAAAAAACAAAGGCCATGCCTAACTGGTACTTGCAAAAAAGACAAAGTACAATTCCAAACGCATCTAAATTCTAGAAGCTTAACTTAATCTTACCAAAGATGAGAGCGAGAATAAACAACCTTTTTCAAGGTTAAACAGCATTATAAACAAAAAAAAATCCTTAAACAAGACAAGACAACCTTATTCAGGGTTAAGATTGATTTTACAAGGCTAAAGATGAATTAACGGAATTAACTTTGCACCAGAAAGGCTCACCAAGCCTCGTCAATTAAGAGGCCCATCACAAGGCCAAAACGGCCTAGATGATGAGCCCACTTGTTGGTCCCGGTTATCAAGGTAACAGTCTAGAGGGGGGGTGAATAGTGTTATGGTGTTTAACTTTTTCAAGCTAAGTACCAAGGTTAACAGAATAGCTTGTTCTGTTGAGAACAGACTGGCAGCGGAGGTCTTCTGGTAAGGGTTCTGTCGGGATAGCCTCACAGAGATGCAAAGACACTAGGGCTTCTGTTAACTCACAAGAGGTGTTCTGCTGAACACAGATACCACTTCTTTGGAGTTAAGCAGTATAAAAATAAAAGCGAGTATTAAAAACAGTAAGTAAATGATACCAGAGATTTTATAGTGGTTTAAGGAACAACTCGTTCCTCTAACCCACTGTTCCACTAAGCTTGTAATAAACCAATTACAATACTTAAGTTCTAGCACTTAAGAAGCTCTCCACGTCTTCTTCAAGTGTAGATGTCTCCTGGGATGCACTTCCTTGCTTCCTTTAAGACTAGTCTTGTTTCACTGAGTCTCCTTGAAGTATCACCACTTCACTACTTTAGCTACTTTAAGACGCCCTTCTTTGCAGAAGATGTTTTTATAGAAAAACAGAGTTTTTCTCCAACTTGCTTCGTCACAAAAGATATGTAGTTGAAGTGCTTGAAGTGTTGAAGAACTGGATGAACTTTGCTCTTGTTGGAGTATGAAGATTATATGAGAATATGATCTTTCCAATGTAAGCTTTTCTTGTTGATGGAGATGGAGTTTGAATCTCAAGAAAGCTTTTGAGAGTTGTAGAGAGCAAAAGTTATTCGGTTGTTCTTCATCATGTATCTTATATACAAGGGTTGTCTTTCTGTTGGAGGAGGAGACAACTGCATTGAATGCGCGTACTGTTGAGTTGACCGGTTGGGCCCGCAAGTTTGGCGGCTTGCTATTTTGGAATAGGCTTTTCAGGAATCTCGGTCAATCATCAGCTTTAACTCTTTTAGAGTGTAGAGCTCATTAAATGAGCATTAAATGTTGTCATGTAGCATTTCCGTTGAGGAGCTCCTAGCCGTTGAGGGAATCTTCCATTAGATACATCGGCGAGGTAGCTTGTGAAACATCTAAGTGTTTGGTCTTCTGTTGCGTTGCATAGAGAGGTAGTTACAGAGGGCCTCGAGCTCTTCTGTCCAACAGAAGTCCAAAAGAGGGGCAGGAGCACTTCTGTCAAGTAAACTGCCAACAGAGGGCCTGAAGGTCTTCTGTCAGTCGACTACTCAAGAATGCTTACAATCAGAAAAATTCTAATACATCAATTTTGAATAAGGGGTACTCAAATATAATGTTCTAATTAATCTAGCATCATCAAAATCTAAAAACATTTATTCCTTACACCACCCAACCTGGCTCAACTAATAAGAGCCTAAGGGTCAAGAAATTGGTAAAGTCTTCCTTAAAGCAGGAGAGACGACCTTGACCGGAAATTCAAGGCATGAAACAAGTAAGGACATTTCTGACCAGAAATAGATTAAGGAGCCTAAAAGCATGCAGGGAGGCCTGGAGTCCATCCCAGAACCAGCGGAGCACAGGTCTCAAAAGAAAGCAAAGTTAGAGGTAAATTCCCCAGAAGACTAACGGAGTCCAAGGGAAGCAGATCAGCTTAGAGTAAGGCTAGAGGGTCTAAAAAATACTGGAGTAAGAGATAGATCAAATAGTCAACATAAGCAGATAAAAAAAGCATAATAAAATATGTGCAAGAAAGAGTAAGATGTTCAGTACAAGCCACCCCCACTGGTGGAAAACGGCAACAGGCACACAAGCCTGGAAAGATATTTGTTGGAATGTTTAGTGTTTGGAGTCATAAATTTAAGATTTAGGAGGAGGAAGAATCAGAGCATCAGGAGCGGCGGCGGCCAAGGGGGTCTTTGGATTCACCATCACTTCTGGCAATCCTCAGGACTCGGCGGAGAAGGAGGGGTCTTTCTTCAGTAGGGCCTCATAAATAGACTTCTTCATATCAAGCTTCCCTAGTTGGAAGCATAGCCCCCCCCCCCCCCCCCTTATCCTCCCCCTCAGGGGTTGACAGCCATTCCAGGCCAATTTCAGCCCGACGCTCGGTTATCACCTGTTCCAGGTCAGCTTTGAAGGCATCCCCGCTTATGAAGGTCTGAATGACCTCTCTCCTGACCTCCTCAATCCTCTTCTTCAGCTCATCCTCTTTGAGACTTTGATCCTCCAGGATTCTTCAATCGCACTATATGCAACCATAGCGTCCTCCAGTTTCTTCTTCACAGCATCAACTTCCTTCTCGATAGCAGCCTTGCCAACCTCCACAGCTTCGAACTTGGCCTCTGGCTCTCTCATGGCTTTCCGATGCTCGTCGGATGGACCCCGAGCCTCCACCAACTCCTGCTCTCAATGAGTGGAGCTGGAAGCCACCAGGATGAAAGCCTAGAATCAATTTAAGTTCGTCAGGTTTGTTTAACAGTTTTATTTGGCACAAGACAAGATCGTTGGAAGAAAAGGATAGATGAATACCTTAGAGACGGCACGAGCTGCCCGTTTCAGGGTCAGAGAGGAGGACAACCCTCCGAGATCTTCCCTATCGACGGGGGAGTGACATCTAAGGCTAATGCGACCGGGTTGACACTGCCGTGCAAGATAGAGGCCGAGTTGGAACGCATGGTTACGCGGATCGTATGACGGGGCGCCAGAGTTCCCTCCTCATTGCCGCCCCAAGAGGAGTCATATTCAACCTCCACTACCGAAGACGCAACTTCCTTCTCATCCATCTTCTGCTTCTTTATGGTCGCAGGGGCGGGTTGGAATGTCGGCCTCTTCTCGGCCCCCTGGTTTTGGGGATGTCGGAGGCCTGCAACTGGCTGGGCAACAGAGGTGCATCTCCTTGAGATTTAATATAAATGGATTAATAGTACTACTCATACCAACAGAGGTGCATCTCCTTTTAAGGGAGCTCATCACCCAAGAACTCCAAAGTTAAGCGTGCTTGCACGGGAGTAGTCTTGGGATGGGTGACCCCCTGGGAAGTTTCTCAGGGCGCGCATGAGTGAGGACAAAGTGCGCGGTAAAGGCTCGTACGTGGTGGTTTGTGGGGACAGTACTAGAGGTCTGGAGTAACTACCTCGGACCCCACGGGGCTGGGGTGTTACAGGTGGTATCAGAGCAACCCTGCGACAGTGTGCTGATCCGTTGGATATCGGGCAGACACTTAGCAGGGGAAAGATTCTGGGGTTTGAGTGAGATTTGAGATTGGTTTATGGGCGCAACGAGGACGTTGCGTTCCTAAGTGGGGGTGATTGTAACACTTGAGATTTAATATAAACGGATTAATAGTACTACTCATACCAACAGAGGTGCATCTCCTTTTAAGGGAGCTCATCACCCAAGAACTCCAAAGTTAAGCGTGCTTGCACGGGAGTAGTCTTGGGATGGGTGACCCCCTGGGAAGTTTCTCAGGGCGCGCATGAGTGAGGACAAAGTGCGCGGTAAAGGCTCGTGGTGGTTTGTGGGGACAGTACTAGAGGTCTGGAGTAACTACCTCGGACCCCACGGGGCCGGGGTGTTACAGGGCAAGAGTCGCAGCCGCGCTCCTGTCTGCAGGCCCTTTGAGCCTCCCTTGTCTACACCCTCCGGGCAGGGATCAGGGACCCAG